TTCCCCTCATTTTCCTATAATAAAATAAAAATTTTTAGATTACAATTAATCTGTCCTACGCCAGCCATCAAAGTGTTAGATTGAATCCTATTATACGACTAATGAAAAAGAGAAACGATTCTAGTGCGAACGACAGACAAATTTGTCCTGTACATACTTCCTCCATTGAGAAAATCGCGAAATCCTTTCGAATGCAAGCGATTACAATTTTCGGCCAACAGTTTTCACGCGCAGCTGGTCAAATAACGGAGCAACGCTAATTACTGTCGTGAACAACTCGATTGATTGATCGAAATAACGGTACGGTTCGACGATGCACACTTGTCCAGCGATGTTTGCCCGGATCCATCGATCAGACGAAGAGCAGGCGGTGAAAAGAGGAGGTTACGATACGATCGATTCTGATTAATCGCGGGGAATCTCATTAAAGTCGACAGGAAGGGAACAGGCCTGCAAACCAGGTTTATCGACGGAACTTTTTTTTTTTTCTCTTTCTCTTTGAGAAAATATATTTGTGTAGTTATATATCGATCTAATTCCAAGCTGCAGCAGCGACTTCCATCTCCGCTGCCGGGGGATATTCAATCAGCTGACTGGAAGAGGCAACTTCCTTTGATCAAACTAAATAGCGAATGCTTTTTGCCAGCTCGTACGAGGCTGAATTATTATCCACGTTTCACTAACATCTCGAGGGTTGTTCGCCGGAAACGATGAGAAAAGGACGGGTTCGCGTTCTGTCCGATTTATTAGCAATTAATACGGGTCAGGGAGGTTTCATTGCTGATCAAATGGGAGTCATTAATTCGTTCGTGAAGTTGATTGCTTTAATCTGACAATGCACAGGTGTCTTTGCTTTTTTGAAAGCAGATTGATTTTTAATTAGTAATGAAAAAATATTAAAATTTTAAACAAAAATTGGGAATTGGTAATTAAGAATATTGAAGCTTTAAATAAGAATAAAAAAATATTGAAAAATTTTCGAGAATTCAAAATTAGAATAGCAATTAAAAAATAGTAATCGATAGTTAACCTTAATCTGACCTAACTTGCAACTCTCATGGAAAATTCGTAGAACGAAATCGAAAATCCATTTTTCACGAGGACCAATATTTTCACGTTACACTGAAAAACTGTTAATCGGTAATCGATGCGTTCCATCGTGCTGCCTATGTACAGGGAACAGCGTACTCGCGGATAGAAGCAAAGAAAGCCCGGATGATACTGCCGCGTGGAAACAAGGGCTCCGACGGCAGATTGTTTGGAATTCGTAGGCAAGAAACAAAAACAAGGGAGAACGCAGCAATTGTTCGAGATTTTTCAAGCTGCTCTAAAAGCTTGATCGGTTTGCTATTGGTCTGGGTCGATTGAAAAAAACAATAAACTCAAAGAGAATTAGCTAGAATTCTATCGATACGTTGCTAGATTTGTCGGTTCAATTGTTCAGAATGATTCGCCACGCGTATACGGTTCCCGAAATCCGTACAGTTTGTATTTCATGCGATCAGGGAAAAGCATAACGCGTAACTTGACAAATACACCTGCACAAACACGTTTAAATAAACCTACGCTATTCCCCTCCCGATTTCGACCAATTGCAAATTTTCAAAACGATGAGAACACGTCATCCAGTTAATTAATTCAGCTGGTTTCTAAACAAAATTTGAGTTGTTCGGTCCAATTTTGGCAAAGTTATTTTATTTTAATCTTTTTAAGCAGTTTAATTTTTTAAAACCAGAAGTGCTTTCTAAAATTAATCATTTCGGGCTTATTACATTTCTCACATAATTGCAAGACTTTTTTAATACACAAAGTCCACTGGAAATTGATAGCCTTCTGAAGAAGGAAAATAACCTTCGAAACTTGGAATCTTTCATTCTTCAATTGTAAGCTTCTTAACCTTTGAACTTCGCAATCTTCGAACTCAGCACTTCTAAAAACTTGCCAAATTTAATACACTTTCGAAAAGTTCTGTGTGTTTGTAGCACTATTACGCGAAAGCATATGGCCGTGCGAACATTACGTTTTCCCTCTTTAATAAACCGAAATGTCTTGAGACAAAAGGTGTATCTTTTCATCAATTTCACGCGCCTCTGTGTCCTACAACATGTTTCGCCGAAATGAGACTTGTTCTTGCTCTTTGTAACACGGCTCGTTTCATCGTTTCAGTTCTTGTCACCGTTAACCCTTTCGTTATGGTGGTATCAGACAAAAAATATTACGGTTATATAAAATAATAAATGACAATTTATAAATTTGTCATTTTTTTCCCCTTTTATATTAATTTGCTTCGTTACATTTGTTTGATTTGATTGTAGAAATCAATATATTAACACCTTGGTTTTCACAGTAGTTATATCAATGCTTAGTCAGACGCGCGCCAATATAAACTTGCCAGGAATATTAAAAACTAATCTCTTTTTCGATTTAATGCTCTATATTGTATTATTATAAATTACTAGAGTCATTTCTTAAATTTTTCAATAATTCATTAATTTTTGAAACTTTATTAATTATTTCTCATAAACCTTAAATCTCTCACGCCATTCGACGTATTAAATGATTAAATGTCTATCACCACTTTCTAATAACACCCTATGGTATTTAACACGTGTTAAAACTAGATCGCTACAGCGATCATTCGTAACGAAAGGGTTAAAGTACACAGTGGCCGAAATTTCCGACACGTCAGCCTCTTTTCACTTTCCGTCAGCGAGAATTGTGCAGGTCGGTCTTCTGCTCGTTCCATTTTCATTATCTCTCTCTCGTTCGTTTCACATCGACCGTGTACATGTGCAACACGGTACACACCGCGAAAGCTCGTTTGAAAATAAAAAAAAAAAAAAAAAAAGAAGGAAATACGTGTATCGTTGGTGACGTGCAGGAAGATAAGAGAGACGGTCAGATTGAAGTTCCTGATAAGTTACAGCATTTGGTTCGTGCAAAATGAAGCACGGAATATCGAAGGTTGAAGGGTGTTGAGTGGAGGATAAGCTTGGTTTTCAACGAATTTCAAAAAGGGAGGATTTTAATCGTTTCAGGCAAACCACATCATGTGAAAGCTCTGTAATTTTTTATTTAAAAAGGGATAAATTTTTTGTATTTGCGTGTTTCAATTTTTAATCTTCGGACGACGGACCATGGAGAGAGTCATAATAGTTCAACTCAAAATTTCATTTTATTCGTCATTTTTAATGAAATCTAATAAAATTCTATGATTTGTTGAAACAACGTAATTGCAAAATGTTAATGCAACTCTTCCCAAATGCACACCCTTGTACTGTGTCGTTTTTCTTCAGCTTCTTTCCTCTATTTGGTTTTTAATTAATTACCACGTAGCAGCAGATGCATATTCCGCTGTGTAAATGTGCAGATCCCTTAACCCAATTTAAAATCAGCAATGGTCGTGAGCATCCTAAATAAAATCTATGTTCGTACAAAGGCGTATTAAAGGTCTTACTTTATCCACAAAGAAGATTTATGATAGTATTAAAATTTTACCATAAACTTGAATCGTTCAAAATGTAAATAAAGCTTTATATTGCAAAACAGCGTTCCATAAAAGAATGCAAAATTTATTCTTTGAGCCACATGCAATTAAAAAATTCTAAAAATCCCAAAATTTACATTGCACATTATTTTGCTCAAAAACTTAAATGTTTGCTAAATGTTTTTGAAGCTTTATTTAATGGTGTCATTTACAAAAAGGGTTTCAACGTCAGGACTCGTACAGATTCTGCAAGACGATGCTAGGAATGTTATAATAGGTCATACTAATTGACATTTTCTCGAACACCACACAGAGAAATCTCTTTTCCTGTCGCATTATACTTTCAGCATCTGTTCATCCTCAGGGATGTAAGCGATACAGAGATGTACAATCGAAATGGATTCGTTTGTGATCGTCTTGATGATCACTACTTTCTTTATGTTGCTGACTTTTTCATTGAAATCGATATTCATTTATGTAGAAAGGAATACCTTTGTGATTCTTCAAAAATTATTACCATAATTGTTAAATCTTTTAGAAGTTGCAATTTCTTCGAGAAATGAAATAAAGATATTCAATCTGAAGAACATTATAATTGAATGCCTAATTTTTAATTTATTATCAATTTAGGATATCTGACTTTAAATAAATAAAATAAAATACTATTGATTAATTTTTTGAATATTTAAAAATCTTTTGTTAAAAAGTTTGGGTATCTAATTCTAATCAAAGTAACTTTGTGTACATTTCATAACTCTGGGTCACTATTAATCCATTTTCACGTGCTATTTTTTTCTTCTTTCTAACAGCCTTTTAATTTAATAGCGTCAGTACACTCACATACAGGAAACATCAACTCCACTATTATTTTTGCAATTTTTCGAGCTACTTTTGACGTTCCCCTTCAGGCTTTAATTAAAAAAACCTTTTGATTACCTTCTGTTGGAAAATATTATAATTAACTGTGAACAAACATTGGCACTTGAAACACAATATAATAAATCACAGCTTTGTTAACATAAAATGAATTTTGTAGAACGAATTGCAATTTCTCAAACAATTTTTATTCCAAACATTATAATTATATTTTTCTATAAAGTTTAAGAGAATACTTATGTTGTTCCAAAGGAAAAAGAAAGAATTTTAACAAATTGTTTTTTATGCGGCAGTGCCTCTGCATCAGAATCATAAACTAAAATGATAGTGATCATGCGATAAATCTCTGCATTTGCTTTTCTTGACCTTCGTAATTTTCTGCTATTCAGAAAAAAATTTATTGTCGAGCATGGAAGCATTGTATACTGAATTATGCCTAAGCACGAAATCGTAACGCATACAAAAAGTTTCATTAGATATTATTTCAGTTACCTTCAGTCCGCATGATTCATCGAATCGTTTCATTGAATTAAAAATTTACAAATTTTAAGATGAAACATTTTTTTTAAATTTAACAATTTCTGTTTTAAATAAAATTGTGCCAAATTTATTATGTGATTTATTGTATTGGTTCTAGGATGATCGAGGGATGATTGGGTATTGAGATAAAGGCGTCAATGGTTTTCAAGCTTCATGCCACCGTGACTTTTGCCTACTGGAATGGAGATAAACGGGACAGAGAGCAGCCTGAATGGCACCGAAACTAATCGCACTACTTCGCCAGTTTTCATCATTAGCACTCGTTATATGACACAATGGTAAGTTTATATTAATATCATATATTCCATTTAAGTACACAAAAGTACACAATTCCATTAAAAAAATTCCAATGACTGAAATCTTTGAAATGTCCCCACTTACATTCGACGTCATTTAATTTTTCCTAATGACATTTCTTTTATTGTTCATCGTTTTAAAGTCATAGTTTGTCCCAGGTGCAAATATTTCACATTCTTACCTACAATATTTTATTGACTAAATAATTTCATGTAACGATAATGCGATTTCGATTTTAGAACGATATAATATTCGTGGCCATTATAATCAAACTTTTCGATTCAGCCAGAAACGACGTGTATTTATGGAATAATCAGCCTTCGGTGAACTACTTTGGTTACTAGCAAGTATTCAGGTAGTACTAGACGCGCACGCGAAATTTTCGAACAGTTTCCCTGAAGGATATGACATGGAGAAGCAATTTAGCAAGAGGCACGAGGCATTTGTAAATCCGAATTGCACTTTGCAACCGGCAACGAAAGAAACATTGACCTACATTTCGGCCTGAGATTAAGTCGTTGTACTACGGACATGAAAATAAGGATTTATTCGGATGAAAAAAATGTTGTCAGTCTACCATGAATTTACCAACATTTCTAGCAAAAAAATAGTATTATTATTCTATATAGTCCTTCATGAAAAATTTTTGTTGTAATTCATTAATTACTTAGCTAATCCTCGAACAACGGACCATGGAGAGAGCCACAATTTTAATTCAATTTTGTATTTTACATTATTGATTTATTTAAAAATCATTTAACTAACAAGTTAAATTGACCATAAATCATCCATAATATCAATCACCTAATCACTCTGATTATTATTTCAATTTCCTCGGAACTTCCCAACAATCTTAAGTAGTTGCCACGATGGACAAAGTTGTTCTAAAGTTCGAGATTCAAGTGACCATCTGGTTGGTTGCCGTTTCCGGGAATGCTCGTTATCGACGAGTAATAGCATCGTGTGGTTTCCTCTCGTACATTCGATATTGCTTGTACCACGGGTGTGCTTGGGAAACACACCAAGGTTGAAGGAAATGAGTTTCCACGCGACGCAAAACGAAGGCAAAAATTTCTTAAGAGCCTTGTGTTCCTTTTCGAGACACCATTGTTCTTCTGGCCACGCTTAATGACTGCTTCTATACAATCGATAACTGGATGTTTCTATTTCGTGCTTGTTAAAGGACTTTCAGATCTGCCTACTATCTTTTCTGATATGCAGACAATATCTTTGAGAGGAGATATAACGTCCGACAACGTGTTGCACTTCCAAATTGAACAGAAATTCTATTTGATACTTTTATTCTGATGTGCTATTATTTTATTAAGTTTATATTATAGGAGATATTTTGGATTATTGAGATGATATTCGTGGCCATTTATATTCCAATCAACTTTTTATTTTTAATAAAACTTTCAAATCTTAGCAAGAGTAGAACCTTATTAAATTTTAAAAATAATAAACGTTGTTAGAATCGATCGCGACCCCTGTTGTGGAGGATAGAAAAATGCAACCAATATGAACCTTCCTGAACTCAGTTATCTCTTATTTTGTTAGAATAAATAAGTATGCGAAGAATTTAATTTCTACTACAGCGACGCAACTCCCTTTATTACATTAAATTGTAATGGAGATAGGACAGTCTATAGTACAATGTCGTAAAAATGTTGTGACTTCGTTGCTGATATAACGATAACTTTTCAAAATAATTGAGTTAACATTTATTCTATCTCCAGTTTAATACACGGTAGTATAATTCAATTGAATCCATTTTAGTGAAGGAAACTTGACAAAAATTAAGAAAACAAATTTTTCTTATTATTATCAGTTGTGATACAAACTACATTATTTAAAATTATTAAAAATTATTATAAAATCTTTAATATTAAATTTCTGTTATTCTTTATTTACTTTAACTAATATATTCCAGAGAAATTTCATAATAATTATATCCTAAGAATAAACATCTCTTCACAGTTAATTTTACCATGTAAGCTTCGTTAACATGAGCTATCCTGGAGCGTACAGAATAAAGATTTCCCTAGGGGTACTTTTTTATTGAACGTCGTTGCACTTTTTAGCCGAAAATTTTCGCGCAAACATTGTGCAAGTTAAAATTTTACACCCGAGATTCACTTTGTCGGCTCGTCGTGGCCCGATAGAACACATACCTATACGGGTGAATTGCAAACAGATACCGACAATGAACGTTCGTTTCAAAGGACGACCGCTGCGTTTTCCGATAATGCAAGCGGTACACCTGTGAAAAGCAATTACTATCAGAAGAATTTCTTTTACAGGTAATTCTTGCTCCGTTTTTATTTAATAAACAATTAATTCGCCGAATGAAGTATGAAATTCTTAAAAAATATTTTAAATCGAAGTTTTCAAAATTCAACTTCCCCATGAAAAGAAAAAAAGCTAAGCAACGGTTGAAACAAGGGCGACAACTAGCAGACGGGCAGCTAACAGAACTAATCTGGGGCAAATTGCACCCTTGACCTAGCCACGCTAATTCGCGTATCCCGTGAAGTTGAACCATGCGAACGAGTAGTTGAGTGAGTTTCGGTTGATGGGACCAGCCGCTCGAGTACTCGGATACATGCTCGTTCCGTTTTCGTTATTTCGTAAAAGGGTGAACCGATGTCGTGCAAGCTGGAACGAGGCACGCGAACAACCCTTAACGGAGGATCAAGCGATCCTACCACTCGATGGGCACGCGATGCTGACGAAAAATTTCCAATTTTTCCGTCTGGCTATCGATAAAGCAACCAAACAAACGTGTACATGACCATTCTGAACATTCAGTACTATTGATTTTTGCATGTCCCTCTTTTCATTAGCAATGAAGCAATCGCGTGTTAAGTAGAAAAGAAAAAAAGAAATCTCCCTGATGATCGATGTTTCATTTCATTTCAAGCGTTACAGTTTCGATCAGTCAACCTGGCGCCTTGAATTTCGTGTGAAATTAGAGGGTCTTTGAGTGAAAGTTTGAAGACAGATTCAATAGATGGATGAAAATGATTAATTGGCTGGAGTTAGGTGTTCATTTTTTTTTTTTTTTTTAGATTCTGTGATTCTGTTGGGGGGTTGAGTAGAGAAATTATTTTCTGATATTCTAATTATTTTCTAAAATATTAGAATACTTTAATATTATTTTATATGTCTATAGTAAAAATTAAAAATTAAAATTAAAAAAAATTGATTATCCATCAAAAATAAAAATTGGGATTAGAAATGGAACCTTCTAAAGTATTCTAATTTTTAATTTTTCACTTTACTAATTTTCTAACTATTAAAAGAGCACTCACTGTAAATTTGTGAAATCTGAACTATGCTTGGATGGTAGTGAAAAAATTATAAGCTCCCGAGGGTACAAGCCATTTTGTTTTATCGTATTTCAATAACCCATGAAAGAAATGAAGCAGCGATACCAAATGATGCTATCTATATAAAATGGTAATACCCCGAACCTGGTATTCAACTGCGTCTTTTGTACATGATAAAAATGAAAGGAGACCTAGTTCATCCTATCAGTTTACCTGAGTTTTATCGAAAAAGGATTTCGGTATGAAAGGGGGAAGATAGTATCGTTATCATCACCCTCTGTACGACTTGAAACTCGACATGCATAAAATGTAATTAAAAAAAAAGTTGATCTACCTAGTATTTTATTATTTAAAGTATTAATATCAAGCGTTGTATTTTTTTTTTTTATTATATTCATAAATTTACTAGTTTATTTGTATATCATTTCATTTCATCAATAAAAGCCGAGATCAATGTTCAGTGCTGAAAGTTAATCCAGGTTCCTTGCAAATCCTGGCAAAACACCGATTGCTGGCAGCAACAAATATAAAGGCATGATTGAAATCCCGTTTCAATTAACAAATTTAAAGGGGGAAAAATAATTCCTACTCCAGTGCTCTGCTCACTCGTCTTTTTCAATTCAATTTCAATCATACGTATTGATGCGTTTTCTGCTTAATTGGACATTATTACCGAGATAAAAATTTTTCAATATGCGACAGACAAAAAAAGATCGTTGTGCAGCATTAAAAAGTTTTCTGTTCCGATCATTGGATCGTGATTATGAAATATAATAATGTAACCTTCTGTTTAGTAAATTATTTATTACGTAGTGAATTGAACTATATTAATTATTAGAACCCGAGTAAACGTACCTTATAAAAACTATACGTTTCATGCAACAAGTTTCATCTGCAAGTAAATATATGTAAGTCTAAATTATACTTTCTGAAAATTGAAAAATTAAAAATCAAGGAAATTAAAACAGTCGTAATTAGAATTTGCATTTCTGCTAATCGACACATTCTATTGAAGAAATACGATACAAGGTTGCAGCATGAAACATGCTAAAACCCACTGTATTTATTTATCGTCCATAAAATCGACGCGCTAGTCGTCACGAAAGTGCAAAAATCTTTGCAATTCCAATGATCTGCATACGAACTGCATGCTACTCGCAGCGTGATATGATTTTCAAATAAGTGAATGCGTGTTTCTCATGAAACGCGTTTTACCTTTCTACGCGTAATTAAACTACGTCTAAAGTCTCACAGGAAAAGAGGAAAATATTAATACGCCCCCTCCAACAGCAAAGCGAGTTAAATAAATAACGTTCTTTTAAATGAAAAATTAATTTCCACGAATCTTTTTTCTTTAAACAGACTGTACTTGAAGTAATAAATTATTTTTAATTTATCAATATAAAATATTCATCAGATTTATTAATAATTTTATTATGCACTGAAAAATAGATATGCATCTAAATATAAAATTCATTATTTTTATGCTGCATTATAAATTAACTTTAATATATCAGTCTTTATATTTAGTATGATAAATGAAATGAAAAATTTAATAATATTCTTCATCAGCTTTTAGAACAATGCAGTACTTGGAAAATAAATAATTAAAATTCATTATTTCAATAAGCTAATTCTTCCAATTCATTGTG